AACTACACTTACTTAACACTTTGAATGCCAGACATTTACTTGTAACAGAGTATATCTACACTGTGGTATTATTACTTTGACTTAAAGAGGCCCTATTATGCCTTTAGGGGTTTTCCCTCTCCTGTAGTGTGTTATATAGGTTTTTGTCAGACAGAGATTGAAAAACACAGGCCGTTTGAGAAGAATAAAGCACGTTGTGAACATTAATGGTGGGGTAGGTAATTTTGGAGGCACCAGCTCGAGTGCGCTAGAATTTGAAAATACATAACCGGAAAAAATTCGCCGTGCTTTTTACAGCACTACGGCTTCCACAGATGACATTTTTTAATGTATTTATTGTCAAAGCATTTAATGTATTCATTGCTATCGGGATGTTAAGAGCATTCCATGGAATATAACAAAAAGTGTTTCTGAAATAAATTACATACCCCACCTTTAAAGCATGGAAACATGTCACAGTCGAGGCACAAAATACAAAAATGAACCTGAAAAGGAGCATAATACGTCCTCTTTAAGTGAAATATCTGAGTACTTCTCTCACCTCCGCATGTGAGATCAAGGTATGTGAAGGGATTGATGGAGAAAAATGTAGCAGTTATTAGGTGTGAAATTAAAAAAACGTATCTTCGACCATACAACAAAACACCTGAACAAGGATCGAAGGAAGCTGAACAAGTGTGAGGTAAGAGCGTGGAGGTATTATCACTCAGATGAATGGACCGGTTCGCCCATGCTGCCCGCTAAGGTCTCCCAGAAAAGAATCGATACCGGAGCACCCATTCAATAAAACTGAGGCCTCGCTCTGCTGTGTTTCACTGCGACACACACACTTCCTGTCAGCACAGAGAAGACGAGCTGCTGCTGCTGCTGTCGGATCCATTCAGGTCGAACAAGTAGATGAATGGAGCACCGGGTCTCTCTCTGCTCTCATTTAATGACAATTCGCAGCCGTGCCATCACTGGCGGCATACAGAGTATCAACAGTCTGGAAATAAAGTTAACAGACAGTCACTTGACACTTTGAATTAAGTATTTATGGTGAAATCGCAAGTGGTCACAAGTATTTGCTAAAAAGAACTGACCTATCCCAAACTGATACTTACGGTATTTATTTGTTGTTGCATAAGGCCCACGAATGCCCAGTGGCGAACCGTCAGGGCCTTCAAGGTATTCAGAATACCCTGGAACACTCGGATAAAACAAACAAAAAATAGATTTAATTATAAATAAAATGAATAAATGAGAATCGTATCCGTGTTGTTATTCTGTAATATTACAGTGTTACGTTGATTTGTTTGTCCTTCTCGGACCATGCACTACGCATTTCAGTGGTTTTATGTTTGAAAAAGAAAGCAACCAATCAGATCTTGTTCTGGGTCTCTGGGTAGAATATCCTTCAACCAAGGTATTCTACATCCTTGATCGAAGGCCCTGGCCGTTGCACTGAATGAAAGCGTACGTTTGGACTGACAGTTTGATCAACCAATCATATATTGATTTGTAGCCAATGGGCGTGTTCTTTCAGAGTTCCCCTCGGTTCCAGGGTGTTCTAGAAGGCCCGGTAGTTAACTGGCTCGAGACAGAGGATCTAGATGAATGCGACCAAGCAATTCATGCCGTTTTATTGTTTTTAACGTTGAAATGGCAAGTGCAACAGGTGAAGATGATGTTGTTGCGGAGTTGTTGTGAGTACCCTTTTCAAGACGACAATTCAGTGAAAAGACGGACATTATAACGGTGGGGGGGGAGGCGCGGCGGCGGCGGAGGGTGTGTGTGTGTCTACAGAAGGTCCAGTTGTGATAGACACGGTTCGCCACTGCGAATGACAATGTGCATCCATTAGATTATTGAGACTTACATGCGGAGTTCCTCAAGGCACCAAACTGGGGCCTCTTCTTTTTAATATCTACATTCGTCAATCTTCGGAAACAAAAACATAAGATACAGTAATTATGCAGCAGACACATAAATGTACTACATATTTCAACATTGGAATATGGTCCAATACAAGCACTGAGTATGTACAGTGGACAAATGAATGATTGGATACGTCCGAATGATTTTAAATGAAATAGACAGAACTGAGGTAATTGTTTTTGTAGCCAAAGAGGAACAATTGAAAGCACAGACAGGACAGAGGCATAACATACAAATATGAAACCTGAAAATGAGCATAATAGGGCCGCTTTAACTTTGAGAAGCAGTGTTTAGGTAGGCATCTGGAATAATCCCCCAGAAAACTGCAGGTTATTTTAAATGGAGGTGGAGGCCTTTCTATTTGACGCCTTTTCTTAAATCCACACATATTCATCTCACTGCACTGTAACGTTTAGTCTTGATTTCTATAACAGTCCTATTCTTTTTTGCCTAAAATACCCTACAAGTGTGTTGTTTGAGCTTAAAGGTGCATCCAGCGGTCATGTTTTCCCCAAATAACTTTCTTTCATGGGTTCCACAGATTTGTCTTATTGTGTTTAATGACAAAGCTGCAGCATGTGTCACCACAGAGTTATGATGATTACCATGTTTGGCAATAATGTGAAGCGACAACGTTAATTCTGTATTAACAGATTCTCTGGAGTGGGGATGTAGAGGACGAGGTGGTGTTGGTTGGGTGGGGGTTCTGCACCCTAAGGCCAGTTTCGGTGATTCATCGCCATGCTGATGTGATTTCTGAAGCTTTTATTCACGTCGAAAAAGGAAATCGGGGCAGGATTGAATCAAACCGGCGCCCACTCACTTCATTATAAATCATTCTTATATATGTCATGTTGTTCTGCTCTATAGCTTCAATCTGCTGCTCTTCTTCTCGGCTTCAAAGATGCGACACTAATCTGCTTCCAGTTTGAGACTATGCTGCCCCCGGTGTTGAATTTGCCCTGCAGTGAGGAGTACTACTGAACCACAAAAACAACATGAATACAGCAGTAGCTAGAAAACATCTGAAAACAAAACGTTAAGTTTAGAAGGATTACGTGAACATTCAGGTCTTCTTGGTAATGTTTGAACACTTCAACATTTTGGATTTAAACAATTGGGGCCTTGTTTGTGATGCTCGAAGACACAGAGAAAATACAGGAAATGTTTCAGACCACCTCTTCAAGTATTTTAAACATTCAGATATCATTCCACCTTGAATGCTTATTTTATGTATTTACTCTTCGTGTCGATGCAATCAGTTAGCTATCTAATCTACCCTAGATGCATGAAGTGAAAAGGTGTCAATGTATTTAAGAAAGACATCTTAATGTTAGTACAAAAAGTACTTTAGATGGCATTTCCCTCAAAACAATTAGGAATTGTTGTATACGAATGTCATTTATAGGGTTTAAAGGGACAGGCTTGGATTCATTTAAAACTAAATATAGATTTATACAGTATATATATTGTATATGTTATTTAGTAAATTACTCCTTGTTAAAAGAAAAATGTCCCTACAGCTTATATTTGAATCAGATTTCTGGGGGTTTTAAAAAATTAGTCTTTCAATTATTAAAAATGTGTATCCAAACAAATTATATTTATCAGTTTTTGTAATGAAAATTGAAAATATTGGTAAAAATAGGATTACAAATATATTTAAAATAATGGTCAGGTAAATCATAAAAGGGAATAACCAGTATCCCAGGTGAGAAACCAAAGTGTGTAAAACCTCAGAATATTATAGTCATCATGATTTACGCTGACAACCAGAACATTTAAATCTAACTGAAGTCATCCCTTTTTAGATGTTGGTTGTAAAAATAATATGAATCTGCAGGCTAAATGTGAACAGTGTCAGACAGCATGAGATATGAAATTGGCAGGATTATGTCAATATGGCAGCAAGGCGTTTGTTTGGTTGGTTTATTGGCGACTTGTCGGGGAAACTGTGATAAGATGAGTCACGCTGAGGAAAACCTGCATCGTCACAAAAACCAGAAAGAAAAATAACAGCTTAAAAAGACAACACATGGAGATACAATAATGTTTACCACACACTGGGCAGACAACAGGGACGGTGGTCAGTTTGGATTAATGTCAGTTAGAACAGATTCAGTCAAGATGCCTTTTCGCTGAATAAAGGAAAATCAATCAAGAGTAGCTGTCCAACATGGCAAAGCAGGTCAACCGTTAAACACAGTTTGATGGTTCAGTTCTCCTGGAGAGTCCTGGAGCAGGATAACAAACCCCCAAACATCTCCAGATGAGCGCACGTCGTGGAATAAAATAAACGTCCTGCAGTGTAATCTACAACACACATATTTAGCTAAATAGAGCTGTACACATGTTCCTCCACCATAACTGTGTATTTTGCATTTCACATGTTCTTAAGACTACATTCAAAGGAGCACTTTGAGTGACAAGACCAGGAGCCAATCAGTGAAAAGGGTGGGATTGATGCAGCATTGTGTAGCAGTATTTTATTGATGCATGGACTTCAAGAATGGATCTCCTGTTATATAAACTTTGCATTGAATTCAGTTAAATTGGACTGTAGACTGTATTGGAAGCTGTCAAGTTTCTCAGATGCACTTTTTAAATGTGTCCACTTGGCAATGCCGATTTGGTGCAATACAAAGGAGGGTTGTGTGATGAATGTTACCCTCGTTAGATAAAACAAGTGTGGCCAAACTGCAGCTGCAAAGCAGAAATATGATTCAAGACGTTATTGAAATAATCCTCAAATTGCATTAAGATTGTTTAATGACTTCAGGATTGTGATACAGCATATCTTATCCTGGAGCCTCTAGGGATTTCCAACCGTAATCATTGAGCTACCTCTCAGATCAAATGTAGGCCAAATGTAGGTTTGCCCACTTCACCAATGATGTAGGATAAAGTAGTTTGGACAGATATAGTAGTGGGAAACAAACAGTCTAGCATCACAAAACTACTGGTCGCAAACTTAAAAATGCAAGCGTGATCACACGACTTACTGTCCTAGCCAACAGAGAAACGTACACAAATGATAATCAGAAAGGTCTAACCTCGGTGTGTATTCTTTGTGTTTTCCACAGGAAGTGCAGGGACTCCGGTCATGTTTAACGAGAACGGTGACGCTCCTGGACGCTACGACATCTTCCAGTATCAGATTAACAACAGGTCAACGGCCGAGTACAAGGTCATCGGACACTGGACCAATCAGCTGCATCTGACGGTAAGGATCAAGAATATTCAATCTTTTATATTTTGTAAGCATCTGTCAAACTGTTCATGAGACTGGTACAAGGCATCATTTCAAGACCTTGATATTGGAGATTAACGACAATAACAGATGGTGTTTTCTCAGTTGTCATAGAGCACTTTAAGGACTTTTACATTTCATTTAGCTGACCCTTTTATCCAAAGCCATTTACAAAGACTTCTACATAGATCACCCATCATTGGACATGCCTACGGGGGTCATTTGGGGTCCAGTATCGATACTTCGACATCTTAACTGAAGGGGCTGGATGATTTAGTCTGTACTACAAACAGTAAAGTATCTCAGATGCAACATGTACGTTTGTCTGCTTGACGATGCCAATTTGTTGTAATTCATTTAAAAAATGTAGGGAGGGGAAGTTTAAACTCAGACTGAAAACTTTATCTTATCAAAATAGGTGTGGACAAAATCTGCGTTCGAAAAAAAAAAATAGGATTCATAATGATGTTATCGCAACATTTATAGACGCAATAAATCTGTTTAGGATTCTGGTTCCTCCCTCTTATTTTTTCCATTAATGATAGGATAAACTAAGATGTATGTTTCAAGGCTTTATTGTCATTTGCACATACGGTGTAGATACGGCAATGAAACGCTTAAGTCACAGGCTCCTCCAACAGTGCAACATATATAGGACATAGAACAAATAAAACCGATACAATGAGTAAACCTATGTGGTAATAAACCTGATTCTGACTGTGTTTCCCCCCTCTCTCCTCAGATGGAGACCCTCCAGTGGACGACGGGCGACTCCTCGCTGCCGGTGTCGGTGTGCAGCCTGCCCTGCCAGACGGGCGAGAGGAAGAAGGTGGTGAAGGGCATGCCGTGCTGCTGGCACTGCGAGCGCTGCGAGGGATACCACTTCCAGGCCAGCGAGTTCACCTGCGAGATCTGCCCCTACGAGAAAAGACCCGACCAGAACCGAACCAGCTGCCAGCCGATCCCCATCATCAAGCTGGAGTGGAGCTCGCCCTGGGCTCTGTTTCCCGTCTTCATCTCCATCCTTGGCATCATCGCTACAACCTTTGCCATCGTCACCTTCGTCCGCTACAACGACACCCCCATTGTTCGCGCCTCAGGGCGGGAGATGAGCTACGTGCTGTTGACAGGCATCTTCCTGTGTTACATTATCACCTTCCCCATGATCGCTGCACCCGATGTGGTCGTCTGCTCTTTCCGACGCATCTTCCTGGGTCTCGGCATGTGTTTTAGTAACGCCGCGCTTCTCACCAAGACCAACCGCATCCACCGCATCTTCGAGCAGGGCAAGACGGCGGTGACGGCGCCGCGGTTCATCTCCCCGGCCTCCCAGCTGGTTATCACCTTCTCGCTGATCTCAGTCCAGCTTCTGGGCGTTCTGGTGTGGTTCTCCGCCGACCCGCCTCACACCTTTGTGGACTACGGTGAGCAGCGTACGCAGGATCCCTCAAACGCTCGCGGTGTCCTCAAGTGCGATATCTCCGACCTGTCGCTCATCTGCTCGCTGGGATACAGCATCCTCTTGATGGTCACATGCACTGTTTACGCCATCAAGACGCGTGGCGTGCCAGAGACCTTCAACGAGGCCAAACCCATTGGATTTACTATGTACACAACCTGCATCATCTGGCTCGCCTTCATCCCCATCTTCTTCGGCACGGCACAGTCGGCGGAGCGGGTGAGTTTGCCTCTCTGATAAATAATGTACTGTCATGTTTTATGTAATGTTCAGCCCTGCAGCAGGGTTTAGCTTATAAGTGGAAATAGACTGCCAGCAGCATCTACATGTACACACAGGCCTCCTGTATGTATTTATGTGACACTGATGACAGTCGAAAGTCCTGTTGTTTCTCAAAGTCAAAGTCAACTTTATTGTCAATCTTTCAGTTTGTGTACAGACAGAGATCGAAATGCCGTTTCCCACAATCCCGAATACAAGAATATATAAAAATATGTATCAAAATATGTATATCCTATAAATACACAATCGACAGACACATTTACTGTATACATATGCACACATTAAGACATAAATAAAAACACAACAATCAATACAAAATAACAGTCACTTCAATATCTTTGGGGAATGTACATTAGTGCAAGACTGTCCATAGCAGCGTCAAAAGCGTGGTGTTAAAGCTCTTTTTTACTCTACCATTGGTTTTTTGGGGTATATTTTGTAAACTTGATATGACAACCAACATGTTTGGCAAAAAGTACACATAGATATCCTGATTTGCAGAAATAACTAGTTCAGTAAAGGCATTACTAATCCCACTCGTGCTGTGAGCTAGGAACTCTTCTCTTGCTGTTTCATTTCAGATAGAAGACAAAAGAAGCGGATTCTCGTTTTCATCAGCGTACCATTGTTTGAAAAGGTCTATGGCGAACTAGATCACTCTTGAATTTGGAAACAGCCCTTTAACAAAATAACCTCAACTCAAAGTCCAATTGCTAGCTTGTTCCTGACCTTTAAACCACATGAAGAATGGAACAAGGATAGTGTTTTATCAGTTGACATAGAACTGCCGATGTTAAAGCCTTCAATGTTTCCAAGGCACTTTGTTTGTTTTGTCGTGAAGCAGTTTAAAAGTATCTTGACCTCGGGAAAAGCAGTTGGATAGAACAATCTCAAATCAAAGCCAATTTACGAGTGTAGCATTTCCCTCAGAATAATGGTCGTAGGCTTTACTGATGAACCAGAATGTATTCAAACTCCAGACCCAACGTAAGAGCTTGAGCCTCTTCGCGGGGTGCTAACATTTAAACATACAGTCCATTCACACGTTGTTTCCAAAGCCACAACAACTTCCTGTCAAACACGTAATCTCGCCTTCAAAATAAAAGCATACAAATGAAACAGGAAGTTAAACTAAATTACATTTAAGATATATATAAAACGAAAGCAACAAAAACAATGCAACATCCCCTTCAGTCTCACATAACACAAATTGGGTTATCTACAACTAGTTCAAACATTTTAAACAAGCGGGTAATTGAACCTTTAACTGAGATTGTCAAAGTGAAAAAATGAAAATTCATTCGGGTACTGTTTTTTTTAAAGGTAGGTCATGGACATTGTTTTGTGAGGTGATCTTAATCTTTGTCCAACTCCTTTTCAGACTAAAACACTCTGAAAGGGTGCGTAAGTAAGCGCCATGATCTAAGTATAGACACAGAAATAAAGACAATACTGTACATGTATCGCAGTGTGAAGCATTGTTGTTTGTTTGTTTATTTAAAGGGCAGTGCACATTGATCAACATTGCTGTAAACGTGCCAGTATTAGACAGCAGGCTAATTTTCAACTGTTGTCCTGTTGGCAATATGTTAAATAACCACAACAAGACTAGAGAAATAAAAACATATTTAAAAAGCATACACTCAGCAACAGACAACAATCAATAGGAACAGACACACATGCAAACAGATGAAATACTATCATAAGTGTTCACATTTTGGGTTCACAGAGTGATACAGTGTTGGTCTTGCTAAAAAAACGTCTTCTTAATGTTTAGCTGTGAGTCAGTAAGCCATTGATTTACATGAACCATTGCATCATTTAATTTGGCCGCAGCTTGGGCCTTGGTTTTTGCATGGACATAAATGACAGTGTCATCAGCGTACATTTGCACCTCACATCCAGTGCACACTGATGGAAAGTCATTTACATACAGGCTGAATAGAATTGGGCCCAGGATAGATCCCTGGGGTGCACCCAGTTCATTCCTCAGGGGTGGTGATGTCTCGCCACTTACCCTTACACACTGAACTCTGTCTGACAGATAGGAGCTCATCCAGTCTATTGCACTGGGTGAGAAATTGAAAGACATTTTGTGAATGAGTACTTGATGATTGACTGTATCAAAAGCTTTCTTAAGATCTAAGAAGATTGCTCCAACAATGCCTCCTTTGTCCATTTTTGATTTAATATTTTCCACAAGGAAACAATTTGCGGTCTCAGTGGAATGATTGGCTCGGAAGCCGAATTGCATGGGGTGTAGTGTGAAAGGACTACTGTTAAGATGTCCAGTCAATTGCTCAGCTACACATTTCTCAGAGATCTTAGACATGACAGGTCAAATACTAATGGGCCTATAGTTGTTTGCATCAGTTGTGTCCCCGGATTTGTGGACTGGCACAACAATGGCTAACTTCCAGTCTTTTGGGAATTTTCCCTCCCTAAAAGAGGTGTTAATTATTTTAGTAATTGTCCCTGTGAGAGTCCAGTCCAAAAGTGTCTTTTGATTTGGAATTGTTTAAAGAAGAAATTATAGACTTAACTTTGGATTCAGAAGTCTCTGTCAGGGAGAAGACTGGCTGTGTACTATCAATAGGTATTAATAAGTATTACAGTTTCATTTATAATACAACATACTTGTTGCATGGGCAGTGTATACTTGGTGTTTTGTTCTAGGGTAAATGGTAATTGAGTCAACAGGACTTTTAGGGTTTTGGAATATTTGGCCTACAAAACAATTGCATAGCACTGAAAGTACATGCTAAGAAAAGACAAGATAAGAGGTACATTATTGATCCCAAATTGCTAAATGTTTACGTTGCAATAACATAAAAAACAAAACAAGGCATTGCACATAAGTACATTAAAGAGTAGAAATAAATAATTCAGGAATTCAAACATCTCAAAATTGAATTAAAACGGCATTAAAAAGTAAAATATACAGTAGACTGAAGATAACAAATCTATAAACTCTGACAATAAAACACTATTGAAGTGTACTACAGGCTAGTTAGCACGCCCTTGTTAAAGCAAATACAAACCCATTCCCTCACACTTTTTTACGTTATGTTTTGGTTTTGAGAAGGCACTACGCATTCAAACAATGATTCAAACACTCTTACAAAAAAGTGACTACGGACCAGACATCTGAGCAGCCTGTAGTTGCTGTAAATCATAGAGAAACTCAGTGTCTAACATATGTTGAGGTTAGTTTTAGTTTCAGGACTCATGACTTAGTTACTGCGTTCTGAATGATTGATGATTGATGAGATTCTGGTCACCACAGGCACAGCCTTGCCGGCGCTGCAGCTCCTCGACACAGAACTAATTAGAGCGGCATCAAATGTAGCTCATTCAGACAACAGTTTTTGGGTTGAGTTTGCTGTAAGCGAGGAGCCAGATGGAAGATTATGCTCATTATGGAGTCTGTGGGGAGTTGGAGAGGACAGGTGGAGCGATCCACTGTCATTCCCTCCAAACTGTATCCGTCGCTTCTTCTTCTGCTACTGTTTCGTTATGTTTTGGGTTGTTTATGTAAACATGTCAACTGATTTTCAATTAAGGTAAAACTAACCCGGCAATTTGTCTCACACACACACTCACCCCCAAAAGCCTGAAACGCCTCCATTGGACTCCTTTGTTTACTTCCTGAATATAATGACATCACTAAGTAACACTCGCGCTCCTATTGGCTAGCGCTCCAACACATTGGTACGTGATAGGCTAAGGGGACGGGACATCTCTAAGCGGTTGACCAATCACAACAGAGCCGGCCAGCTAACCAATCAGAGCAGACTGGGCTCTGGTTTCAGACAGAGGGTGAAAAGAGGTGCTGCAGCACAGGCAGTATGTGAACAAGACAGAGCTTTTTGAACATTAAAGCATGGAGACATGTAGAGACACTACATACTGATATACACCTGAACATCAGCAGGAGAGGACTCTTTAAAGTAGAGACACTACATACTGATATACACTTGAACTTCAGCAGGAGAGGACTCTTTAAAGTAGAGACACTACATACTGATATACACCTGCACATCAGCAGGAGAGGACTCTTTAAAGTAGAGACACTACATACTGATACACACCTGAACATCAGCAGGAGAGGACTCTTTAAAGTAGAGACACTACATACTGATATACACCTGAACATCAGCAGGAGAGGACTCTTTAAAGTAGAGACACTACATACTGATATACACCTGAACATCAGCAGAAGAGGACTCTTTAAAGTACAGACACTACATACTGATATACACCTGAACATCAGCAGGAGAGGACTCTTTAAAGTAGAGACACTACAAACTGATATACACCTGAACATCAGCAGGAGAGGACTCTTTAAAGTAGAGACACTACATACTGATATACACCTGAACATCAGCAGGAGAGGACTCTTTAAAGTAGAGACACTACATACTGATATACACCTGAACATCATCAGGAGAGGACTCTTTAAAGTAGAGACACTACATACTGATATACACCTGAACATCAGCAGAAGAGGACTCTTTAAAGTACAGACACTACATACTGATATACACCTGAACATCAGCAGGAGAGGACTCTTTAAAGTAGAGACACTACATACTGATATACACCTGAACATCAGCAGGAGAGGACTCTTTTAAAGTAGAGACACTACATACTGATATACACCTGAACATCATCAGGAGAGGACTCTTTAAAGTAGAGACACTACATACTGATATACACCTGAACATCAGCAGGAGAGGACTCTTTAAAGTAGAGACACTACATACTGATATACACCTGAACATCAGCAGGAGAGGACTCTTTAAAGTAGAGACATTACATACTGATATACACCTGAACATCAGCAGGAGAGGACTCTTTAAAGTAGAGACACTACATACTGATATACACCTGAACATCAGCAGGAGAGGACTCTTTAAAGTAGAGACACTACATACTGATATACACCTGAACATCAGCAGGAGAGGACTCTTTAAAGTAGAGACATTACATACTGATATACACCTGAACATCAGCAGGAGAGGACTCTTTAAAGTAGAGACACTACATACTGATATACACCTGAACATCAGCAGGAGAGACTCTTAAAGTAGAGACATTACATACTGATATACACCTGAACATCAGCAGGAGAGGACTCTTTAAAGTAGAGACACTACATACTGATATACACCTGAACATCAGCAGGAGAGGACTCTTTAAAGTAGAGACACTACATACTGATATACACCTGAACATCAGCAGGAGAGGACTCTTTAAAGTAGAGACACTATATACTGATATA